TCTTCATTCTTTTCTATACAGGTTGCAAAATATATTAGCTAAAAGAATGTAAAGACCAAAGTACCTGAGGAGCGTACAAAGTATGATGTATCAATGGATTCGTGGATAATAAAGTTGATTCAAGAAATGTTGAAATTATGGATCAACGAAATTCTAAGAATGGCATGAAGTTTCTAGGATCATGGGATTTCGTTCAATCAGTAGTTAATACACATATTATTATAGATCCAGTCCATCAATCTTTACAGAGAAGGTTCATCATTTGCATCATCAGAGATCGATTGAACAGGACAGTCAACTTGAGTAGAAGAATAATGAAACTTACGGAGATTCCCAGTCACAAATTAGGCCATTATAATTAACTTACAACTTTTTCCCGTCATGCCGCTTCGATATCCGGTGGATTCAGTGGAGCTGGTCTATTCAAGAGTTCCTCGAAGTATTCTACCCATCTTTTTCTCTATTGTTGAATCTCAGTGATTGGCCTGCATTCGTTATCCTCGACTGGTGTGTCTGGTTTACAATATTTCCTTTCTAGTCTCTTCTTGGCACCACATAGTCATTTGATATTGCGTTCTCTTGCAGCTTTTTCCAATGTCGTTGCTAGCTTTTTGACGTACTTCTGTTTATCAGCTCTAATGATGTTGACTTGTTTGTTTGCTTCTGTATATTGAGTTAGTGCCTTGACCTTGTCTGTTGTTGTTCGGCTGGTTGTTGCTAATTGCTGTCTTCTTGTTCTTCCTTTCTTAAGTGTTGTCTAGGGTTTGATTAAAGGGGCAATCCTTATGATGATGCTTTTTGTGTCCGAGAACCTCCTGATATGTTGAAGTTAGTGGTTGTTTGATGCCTTTGCAACTGTCCTCCATAGTAGTTACCGCTTCTCCCAATAGATTTTATGGGGCTTGGAACCTGTTGTTGAGAGTTATCTTGAATTCATTGAGTTTGTCAGTATCTCGTAACAAGTCTGTATTGAAGGTTTGTGATACTGTTTGTCCGGTTGTCCAGTGTTTTGTTTAGCTTGAGTTTCATCTTGTCATTCACAATGATGTTGTGATGTGAAGCTATGTTAGCTTCGCTCTTGATTCTCACGTCCCACATTGACCGTCTGAGTTTTTTGGTGGTGCATGTCTTATTTATCTGGTTGTGTGTAGTATGATCCGTTGAGACCCATGTATGTTTGTGTATGTGTTTTTGGGTGATTGTAGTTCCACCTTTAACCATTTTGTTGAATGCACATTAATTTGCAAATCTAATTCTAGCCAATTTATAACAAAGCATGATTTCTGATCAATGTTACACATGATTAATTGTAGCCTTCTCAGTTTAATTAACCTCACAGTTCCAGACATTTTTATAACCAGTCATCAGTGGGTTTATGTTATGATACGAACTTAGATAAGAGAATTGGAATCTGAATACAATCAGTTAGCTCAACGACATATTCATGAACTAAAATTGTACTATAACTTCAACAAATCTAGATCCAAACTCTAAACTATTGAGGAAACTACATTTTATAGCCGGACGAAGAATAAGTGAATGGTAACTGCTAGGATCTATTTATGGACCATTATTACAGATGGTCTTATTGAATAACTATTAAGTAACCATATTATATGTATAGTCATATTCCTTTTATTATAAGCTTTCATTTGACCTAATGACTACTTTTATATGATTTACCATTCTTAACTTATTCCCAATTTATTAGTTATATTTTCTCACACTCATAACCACTTTTTGGCTTAATCTTGTATAATTGTCATTTTCTATTTTATGGTATGATTCGGTCTAATTTGCTTGTAACCAAACTGAGTATGTCTGAAATACATGATATGTACAGTGGAAGCTGAAATTGTGTTCTGAACTCAAGCGGACAGGGTTGGGCGAGAAGAACAAATAAAGACTCAGAGTTGACTGTAGACTGCTCGTACTGTTTAACGTTCCACTGGTTTGGCACAGTGCCAAAGTCATATAAGCCAGTGTTCTGATTGGCGATCTTATCACGTGATACTCACCAGGTCCATAGGACGTAACGCTGAAGAAGTTTAAATGCTTATTCTCCTTCTTTAATCGATAATGATAAAATGAAAGATTGGGACTTATTGATACGACATTATGCCTTGTTTTTGGGAATCGATCAGTCAATCAAGTCATATTCACTGTAGAACCTGGCACATATGTAAATCAGTTCATGCTGTCGTACTCCATTATCACAGCAAGATGAAATTATCAAGGGAAATCCTAGTTTAGTAAAGATGGCAACAGTATCAACAGTAATAGAAAAAAATGAGGTTTCTAAGGTAAACTTTGAAATGAAAACACTGATTAGTAGAAGATTAGAAAATCTATGAAGTAATTTAGAAACTTGTGATCTAAGAGTAGATTAAGAGTGAATACATCTATGCCATTGTGAAGGACTTTGATTCATTTCAACCAGTTTCTAACTATAGATGTTGCTTATCACACAGACTCCGACCAGATAATCTGGAATAGCCCACATGGTTTAGCACAACAGCCAGTATCTTTATGGATTAATGACCAATCTTGTTTGGTAAACCGTAATTGTTTTCAAAATCATACATTCACCAGCCATCATCATCTAGGTAGTCAATCCAAGGCTATATATAATATATGTCTTAAATACCTCATCAATTGATTTACCATGTACGACTAGTATCCTGCATCTAATCTTAGACTTGCTAACTCGATGATCCCAAAATACACAACCAATCGCTCAAATATACTTGAGATCGAATAGTAGTTAGTAATTTACAAATATCTTTACTATTTATGGGGCATGTTTTACACTCATAAAGAGAATGGAGTAAAGTGCTAAATAGTATACTTATCCTTTAGTTGACAATAATACATCTCAATGATGCTACAAATAATCTAAGTTAGAAAAAGCCAACTGAAATCAGGCTGAGATTTCTTCCAGCATCAACTCATCATTAATTATGGAATTTTTAAGGTAAGTGAAGAGGTTCACACTGTCAATTACTTCAGGGGTTGGAACAGGCGAGTTCTAAATTTAGATAGAGAGAAACGAATTCAAACTTACTATCTTACAATTCAACCATTCAAGATGTGAATTATTTGGTGCACATCTTGATATTATGCGTACACTTTAAAAATTCTAAATGTTAACTATAAAACATCTTTTGTTTCTCGAAAATAATACATTTTCCAATACATTGGGATTCATTTTATGAAATTATGTGGATGTAGTTTGCAGAGTCTACTGATTCTAACCTTAGTCAATCGGTCAGTTACAACGTAGAATCAGGCGGATATGTGCATCGGTTCAAGTTGCCATGCCTCATTAACACAACAAGATGAACACCACATTCATAGAAGTAGATACTTCAATCGTAGTTATGTGTAAAAGAACGATGGTGTATAAGGACATAGTACAGGAAGAAAGAATTAGTTTGTATAAAGAAAGACAAACAGTGTATACATCTAGTCTATTGTGATCGATTGTGAGCCATATGTCACCCACATTATCTAACCATTGACTACGATAGTCACATGGACCCCAACCAAGTATTCTGCATCTACCAACATGGCTCACACTAGAAGTTAGCGACTCAAAGCAGTGATACCACGTTTTGGTTTGGTCACTCCTGACCTTCTCCAACACTTTTCCGCATTGCACGTCGTGGTGTTCGGTGTTCAAGCATACGTAACACGTGGCCTAAACATCTTAGTCGATAAAGATTCACAATCTCATCAACTGATTTACCATCATTCTCTAATACCCTGAGTCTAACCTCTCTATCACTTGCCTAGTAATCTGAGTAGTGCTCAGTGGAATTCAAACTTATCGGGTGTAGAGAAGGTAGCCACCGAAGATGGTCGCGATCTGACTGAAGTTACACTCGTACATCATCGAAGCCCGGCTCAGTGGTCTAGAGGTTAAGGAATTATACACAACAAGGAACGTCCTAGGTTCAATTCCCTGTGGAATGATATTCGATTTACCCTGCTATGAAGTTGCATAATTTGGTTAAATAAATCTCCAGTGCTTTCAGTTTTTCAATTGTTGTGTAACTTAGATCAGTTCAGGATTTCAATAAAACATAATGATCTTCAAGACTCTTTACTAATAATATGAGTCAACATTAAAAAATCGAGTACTTTACGTTACTTTCTTGTAAAACTAAATACTAATAATTAGTGAACATATTGATTTTCTTTTATTCCACTGTCTAATTTGCGACCAATGTAGTCCAATCTATGTCGGATATGAGATAGTCATTCACATCTGACAATGAATGTAGGATTGCGCAAGATCATGGATCAGTTGAAGTTAGAGATTAATAACTTTAGATGCCAGATTAATCGTCTACAGTTTAAGTGTTCACGTGCGCCACCTTAGGCCCTAAGTTCAAGTCTCACCCATAAGATCGTGAATGCTCACTGTTGAAGAGTTTCATACTGAGATGAAACATTCATACAGTGTTTCTAGGTTTTCAATACTGATCTTCTTTAGATTCACAAATCCCCATAGTGATAATTTCAAAATGTCCCTTAGATTGTAAATACAACAGGAGACAAAATATTTACCGAAAAATTTGGCATACTGACTGATCAAATCGTATCATACATATACATATACACATATATATATATATATATATATATATATATATATATATATATATACCTACCCTCTTCTTCATCATCATATATCATACATATAACATGGGGGTCGAAATGTATTCATGTACAAACACAACCACACATATATATAGATCTATATACACATACATACAAATATGCAAATATTCTTATCTAAACAAACCATAGTGATAAACTGGTAATAATAATGAGAAATAGACATATACTACTAATATTACTATATAACTATATAATACTACTATTGCCATTATTTACATAGACGATTAGACGATTTTGATTGGTCAATTAAATTTATCATGATTAACCAATAGGATTAAAGGAACAATAAATGAATTCATAATAATGATCATATTCATTCATATTCAATTATTTGATCTAGATCAAAACTTATTCATTGATATAACATCATGAATAAATCGATATCATCGAAACAAATTAAAGAACCAGAATTATTTGATATAACAAATCAATTAAAATTATGGGCAATTAATATGTATCATTTAACAGCAACAAAAGATCAAAAAAAATATGATCCAATTGAATTATTATTACGTATTATATGGGATGATATTAATGTAAATAATGAAAAACCAGAATATTATGATAATAATCGAATAAAATTACCTAAATCACATTTATTATTTTCTACAACATTTAAAAATAATACAGATACTGAACAAGAATATAATTTTCGTACAGAACGTTGTACACGTTCAATTATTGAAATTGAAATACAAAAAGGTGTGATATTATCAAAAGAATTATCATTGAAATTAGCGGTAAGTGATATTGTTTATACTTACATTTAAAAATAAAGAAGTGATTTGCTACCTTCGTTCGTTCGTTCGTTCCCTCGTTCCTTCGTTCCCTCGTTCGTTCGTTCCTTCGTTCCCTCGTTCGTTCCTTCGTTCCCTCGTTCGCTCGTTCGTTCGTTCCCTCGTTCGTTCGTTCGTTCGTTCGTTCCTTCCTTCGTTCGTTCGTCCCTTCGTTCCTTCGTTCCTTCCTTCGTTCCTTCGTTCCTTCGTTCCTTCCTTCGTTCCTTCGTTCGTTCGTTCGTTCGTTCGTTCGTTCGTTCGTTCGTTCGTTCGTTCGTTCGTTCGTTCGTTCGTTCGTTCGTTCGTTCGTTCCTTCCTTCCTTCCTTCCTTCCTTCCTTCCTTCCTTCCTTCCTTCCTTCCTTCCTTCCTTCCTTCCTTCCTTCCTTCCTTCCTTCCTTCCTTCCTTCCTTCCTTCCTTCCTTCCTTCCTTCCTTCCTTCCTTCCTTCCTTCCTTCCTTCCTTCCTTCCTTCCTTCCTTCCTTCCTTCCTTCCTTCCTTCCTTCCTTCCTTCCTTCGTTCTTTCGTTCCTTCGTTCCTTCGTTCCTTCGTTCCTTCCTTCCTTCCTTCCTTCCTTCCTTCCTTCCTTCCTTCCTTCCTTCCTTCCTTCCTTCCTTCCTTCCTTCCTTCCTTCCTTCCTTCCTTCCCTACTTACTTAGAACTGTTAACCGTCGTGTAGAAGTATAGACCAACCATCCGTATTCTTTATCCAACTATGTTTTCGTCAATCTTTTCCAGTTCTCTTCAAGTCTGCTTTCAATACTTGACCTAGTGTGTCTATTTTTATCTTCCCTTTCAGGGTTTCAAGTTAGCATTTGTCTCGTGATACAGTTTGATAATTTGCTTAATCTATGTCCTATTGACCTCCTGTGTATTTTTATAATTTGTTCTTCAGATGGAAACTGATTTGTTCTCTCCTACAATAGTCTGTTGATGATGGTATTCAGTCAACGGACATTGAGTATCATGTGTAGACAATTGTTGTGACTTTGATATTAGTTGATAGACTGTTGTTTTGATTGTAGGAATTCTGTCCTTCCTTTACTAATCCTTGCTTTCATGTCTTTATCAGATACAGAATATTGTACTTACTTAGGCTTGTTAACCCTCGTGATGGAGTATGAGTCGTTCACTAGCATTCTTTATCCAACTTTGTCTTACCCAGTTTTTTCCAGTTATTTCTAGTTGATATTTATCCTTGTGATGTCTGGTTCCGGTTCTTGACGCAATGTGCTCTTTGATCTTCCCCTTCAAGATTCCAAGTTAGCATTTGTCTCATGATGCATTTTGATGATTTGCTTAACATATGTCCTATCCACCTCGAGTGTCTTTTCCTGATTTCTTCTTCAGATGGAAACTGGTTTTTTCTCAGCTACAGTAGGTTGTTGCTGATGTTATCTTGTGTAGATAATTGTTTATAAATACTTGTATTGTTTTGATGATAGTTGTAGTAGTTCTTCAAGTTTCAGCTGCGTACAGTAGAAGTAACTGTGTTGATGGTCGTATTGAAAATTCTCACATCGATATTGATTGAAAGACAGTTGTTTTCTGTTTCATATGTTCTTTGCTTCGAGTCAAGAAAGAAGAAAGTACCTGTAAACCATCATCAAGATGGTACAGGTATTTATAAATAGTTGTCTACACAAGATACTCAACATCCAATGGTCGGATACCATCAGCAACAGCTTACTGTGGGACAGAACAAACTAGCTTCTAGTTGACGAGGAAATTGTAAATGAACGTTGGAAGTGAATGGGACATACATTTCGGAAATCATGAAACTGCATCATGAGATAGGCGCTAACTTGGACTCGTGAAGGGATGTGGAAAGGAGGAAGTCGGAAGAACACAATACGTTGGGAAATTGAAGTAGATATGAAAAGGATGAATAATAATTGGAAAGAGTTAGAAAGCATTGCCTAGGACAGTGTTGGATGGAGAACGTTGTTGAGCGGCCTATGCTCCTCTTCACGAGGAGTTTCAGGCGTAAGTAGGCTACTATTATAAGGAAAGATTTGTCAGTTTTCTTTTAGGATACATAAATTGGGCTTTAAAGTATTTGGTAGCCATGCCTTCCATAAATTTGAGAAGATTGAAATTTAACTATTGATTGATAATCTTGAAACAATTCAGTCTATCAATCTGTTGTTTAGCAACAACATAGCTAAAAGCCAATATTTCCTAATGAACTGAAACATTTTTGGGGTGTGTTCTTCAAAACGAACATAGACCATATTTACTGTTCTAGCAATTCATTTTGCTTCGAAAGGTATATAATAATTTATATACACAGTTGACGGTTACATCAAAGGGTTACCGATTAGTCTTTAACTAGAGTAAAGAACAAAATGTTTCATATAAGAGAATCAGTTTTTAATCATCTGTTTACTGTAACTCCAACAATTTCATCTAAGTTAAATGAAAATAGGTTTCTTGTCTGTTGTATATTCTTTAAGCGTTTTATTCCCATTTTTCATGTATTTATTTGAACACCTAAATATTGGTACGAAGTGGCACCGAATACATATGCACCACACAACTCACTTGATTTGTGTATGGGCTGTGATACTGCCCGGGTACTCAAACTAAAAACAGGTGGTTTTCCTAGTGGACCACACTCGCAGCCTTTGACCTAAAGGTCTAATCCACAAGGCAGTCGAGCATCGTAAAGAGATACAATCCCATGGTAGCTGATGACCAACGATTGGTTCGTACGCCATTTGTTCCTTCAGGATACTGGAGCTCATGTGCATCGCTGATTTGGAGTGAGAGTACTCCAACTCCTGTAGGTAAATCCTCCGCATTCACCAACACGTGTTAAGGCACCGGGTATTAGATTTTCGTCCTCTCAATTTTGTAAACAACACTCATGGTGCGAGAAGGCAGTGAGTAGGATTTCTCTGATTGCGGTTGTATGCACGTGGCCATGTGAGAGCGTTTGCAAAGGGAAAGCTACCACTCCCCACTTTCCACCGTACGAGGACATTTGTGGGCCTTGTTGTTCGATCATTCTATACAATAAAACGATCTTCATTATACTTCTCATAATACACCATTTCATCAATCGCATCTTTATGTTTAATCTTTTCAAGTTGAACCATGAATATATCTTCTAGGATAAGATCTATTGGACTTATTTTTACTACTTCATCCCTTAATATTAAAGATAATTAAGTGTATAGACCAATAAACTGAAAACCACTAGAAGGAATACTTCAAGTATATAAGATTAATTGGATTCTCTTTGTTACTTTCAGGGAAGAAAATCTATTCCTTTTCTAAGTAGGAACTAGAGAAGAGTTTAAAATTAGGAAACACTATTCAATCTGTTTTCTTATTATTGTTTCCTAGTCAATATGTTTGGTGCACAAAAGATACACACACACACACGCATATCTACACGGATTGTTTAGCAGAGACTCGATTATTTTGTAATTTAAAAGCTTAGTATTATAACTGGCTTATGGTAGCCAAGCATTCATAGCGACATGGTTATTTGCTCCTTCGATATCGGCTTTTCCTTGAATTATTTCTTTGTATATTCAGTGAAACAGGGAATGAAATTGTATTTTGATTCAAAGTACATTCTGGGGGGTGGTGGTCTATCGCTGCATACTTTAGTATCTTGGTCATGTCAAATGAGTAGTGGTGTAAATTACGGTGTTTAAGTCTTGATATGATGTGTGATTCGTTCTGAAGACCATTTCAGACGAGGAAACTTCGACTGTTATGACGATTAGTAACCCATTTTTATGAAAATGGAAGTGTATCATATCGTAATAAATTGTTATATTAATGTATGATTGATGAATGCATACAAAAAAACAATGTTTTGGGTATCAGAATGCTTTACATTGAACATTTAGATAAAAAAGGTCAGGTAGATTACATGTACGAAACATCATTGGTATACAATCATCAATTTATCACTGAGTTGAGTACAAATGTGTACAGATTTTCATTAGTAAATTGTAACCCCAAATCATTATGTTTGTAATGTGTAATTATCTGCTTCCAAATGCCTTGGTATAGTCGAGAGTAGAGAGAGTCAGATCTCCATCTACAAATGCTATCACATGACCACGTGCATACAATCACTGACAGGGAAGTCCTACTCAATGCTTTCTCACACTAGGGGTGTTGTTTACGAAATTGAGAGGATCAGAAGTGAATGTTGATGGATACGGACGGTTCATTTAGAAAAAGTTGGAAAAACTTCATTCCAAACCAATAGTGCACATGATCCTCAGTATCCTGAAGGAACAAATAGCGTATGAACTATTTGTTGGTCACCGACTACAATGGGACTGCATCTACTGACATTTATCCACTGCATTGTGGATCAAACATTCAGGTTGAAAGCTCTGAGTTTATTTTTTTCTCTATTCACAACAAATAGGATCCATTAAATTTTACATTCTAAAAGTGTTCATCCACGTTGTTCTTGATTTCCAACAATGATTGGTTGTTTTGCTAAGTTAAACTTGTAGATAGTTTGACAGGTATTAGATAAGCTCTATATTCTCCTATCCTTATTATTATCATTGATTGTTGATTGTTTTTGGATTGTGTCGGGTTTTGGTGTGGAAATATATTCACGTTCTAGTCAGGTTAATCACATGTTCTTGATCACCTGAGTTGTGTTGAAGTCCTGTAGAATAAACACTGAAAAGGAATCTAATGTAGATATTCATCTAAGGCAAATGAACACCCCATTTGTATAAACGTGGAAAACCGATTGTTATAACACAGATCTATAATATTGATTTCATTTAAAGATCATGATAAACTACCTCTGTTTTAGCTCCATCAACACAGAATTGTAATATAAATTCATTGAGCCAGTCAGTCAGCTACAACATAGGACCAGGCACATATATGCATCGGTCCAAGTTGCCATACCTCATTAACACAACAAGATGAACACCGGATTCATAGGAGTAGTACATTCAGTAGTGGTAATGTA